TACGGGTAGAAACAATAATAGTTGTAGTAGCACTCGTGGTGGCAGTACTAGTGGGGATTAGTAGTTCGATTGGCAGCACTAGCATAAATGGTAAGACGGAGTCATAATAACTGCTGTTGTGATCGTAGTCGCAATGGTCGTAATTGCGAGGGTGCAATGTGTAATGCGAACAATTACAGCAGTCGTAAGAGTGGCAAACGAATCAACCGTGATGTCAATCATATAGTCGCGTAAATGTAATACGCGTCGCAGTCGTAGTAGTCGCCAAAATTACGTATTCATCGTAATGTTCGTGGTCGTAATAATGGTGATCATCGGTTTGTGGCAGTGGTGACAGCCGTATAGATAATACGGGTATTCGTGGTCACCATCAGAAACCGTGACATGTGGGACAATGGCAGTAATACTGTTGGTAAACCAGTAGTAGCAGTGCTCATAAGAGTGCTATTCGTAGTAGTAGTAGCATTAGTAGTAGTAGTAGTAGTAGTAGTAGGAGTAGTGGTAATAGTGGTAGTAGTGGTGGTGGTAGTAGTAGTAGTAGTAGTAGTAGTAGTAGCAGTAGTAGTAGTAATAGTAGTAGTAGTGGTGATAGCAGTAGTAGTAGTAGAACGAATTTTGGTAGTAGTAGCAGTGATAAGGGTAGTAGTTGTAAGGGCGTTGATAGTAGTAGTCGTAGTAGTAGTAGTAGTAGTAGTAGTAGTACTACTACTGAAACTAGTACTAGTACTAGTAGTAGTAGTAGTAGTAGGAGTAGTAGTAGTAGTAGTAGTAGTAGTAGTAGTAGTAGTAGTAGTAGTAGTAGTAGTAGTACTAGTAGTAGTAGTAGTAGTAGTAGTAGTAGTAGTAGTAGTAGTAGTAGTAGTAGTAGTAGTAGTAGTAGTAGTAGTAGTAGTAGTAGTAGTAGTAGTAGTAGTAGTAGTAGTAGTAGTAGTAGTAGTAGTAGTAGTAGTAGTAGTAGTAGTAGTAGTAGTAGTAGTAGTAGTAGTAGTAGTAGTAGTAGTAGTAGTAGTAGTAGTAGTAGTAGTAGTAGTAGTAGTAGTAGTAGTTAGTACGAAAAAGAAGTACTGGTCGTCGTCGTAGTAGTAATAGTAGTAATAGTCGTCGTCGTCGTCGTCGTCATAGTTTTTTAAATAGTAATGATAATAGTCGTCGTGGTACTGATATTAATAATACGAATGCGAATGGTAGTGGTAGTCGCAATCGCACAGGTGGTCGGAGTGGTAAAACTGGTAGTAATCGTAGTTTGACCTGTTGCGGCGTTTCTCATGAAAGCTCCCAAGGGGCTCCCCGGGAGTTCCTTAGAGGCTATCCAGGAGCTCCTTAGAAGCTCCCTGGAAGCTCCCCAAAAACTCCGTAGAAATGAGGTGTCAAGGCGTTTTGCAGTGGGGACGGCGGGTTGGCAATGGTCATCTGGGAGTTAACACTGGGGACCGTAGCGTTCGCCAACCATTTTTCCCCAATCGGTGCTTGCACTGAAGGGGTCCTAGCGGACATTGAAAGATTCGAAGAAATTCCGGGCCGATTTCGGTGGGCGACCGGGCTGCTGGGTTCCGAGTTCCTGGCTCCCGGGTTCCCAGATCCGGGTTCTGGGCCGATTTCGGTGGGCGGCGGGGTTCCCGGATTCCCGTTTTCCTGGTCGAGCTTATCGATCGGTCCCACAAACGATCTCATTACCCGCCTCTCTATCGATTTCACTACCGATCTCACAATCGATCTCACTATCGATCTCACAATCGATCTCACTATGGATCGCACGAGCGATCTCACGATCGATATCAGTACCGCTTTCGTTGAATCGCCTTCACGATTCACGATCGACTACACCATCGTCCTCAGTATCGATTCCACGACAGATCTCACAATCGATCTCGATATCCATATCACGAATTCCCCACATCCAAAGTGGGGTTCTTGTTTTCTCTGCACACGCCGCGCAGGATCTCACACACCCCCTTTCATATATTTCTCTCTCTTTCCCTCTCATTCTCTCTCACACACACACACTCACCATATCACCATCATCAGCACCATCAACCACCATCATCGTCATCACACGCACACACTCATCACCATTACCATCACCATCACCATCAACCACCATCACCGTCATCACTCATCATCATCATCATCATCATCATCATCATCATCATCGCCACCATCATCACCACTCTATCACCCACTCACTCACTCAAATACCCACTCATCCTCAGTAGGCTTCGGAGGTAGTGGCCCTCCGACGGTAGGACCGCCGCCTCTGTCAACATCATCGTCACCATCACCATCAGCATCTCTCGATCACCAACTCACTGGTCATCATCATAATCAGCACCATCATCACTCACTCATCACTCATTCATCATCAACACTCACTAACTTATCAATTCGTCATCAATCACTCAATATATTGAATATGGAGGAAGTATCAGGCGGGAGCCTCGTCGGTGAGTGAATCGCGAGGAAGTCTCAGGCGGGAACCCCCTCCCTATGGGGCCCGCAGATCATGTTGGTAATCCGACAGGGTCATCCGAAACGTGTAACTATCATCACTTCTGGGCTCCTGAAGCCTGAATATGGAGGAAGTATCAGGCGGGAGCCTCGTCTGTGAGTGAATTGCGAGGAAGTCTCAGGCGGGAACCCCCTCCCTATGGGGCCAGCACTTCATGTTGGTAATCCGAGCGGGTCATCCGAAACGTGTAACCGTCGTCACCTTTGGGCTATTGAGGCCTGACTATGGAGGAAGTATCAGGCGGGAGCCTCGTCGGTAAGTGAATTGCGAGGAAGTCTCCTGCGGGAGCCCCCCCCTATGGGGCCTGCAGATCATATTACGAACTCGAGCGGGTCATCCTGAAACCTGTAACCGTCGTCACTTTTGGGTTCCTGAAGCTTGAATATGAAAAAAGTATCGCGCGGGCGCCTCGTCTGTGAGTGAATTATGAGGAAGTCTCAGGCGGGAGCCCCCTCCCTAAGGGGCCCGCAGATCACGTTACGAATCCGAGCGGGTCATCCTGAACCCTGTACCTGTCGTCACTTTTGCGCTCCTGAGGTTCGATTGCGGAGGAAGTCCCAAGCGGGAGCCTCGTCTGTGAGTGAAGTGTGAGGAAGTCTCACGCGGGAGCCCCCTCCCTGTGGGGCCCGCAGATCATGTTACTAATCCAAAGCGGCTCATCCTGAAACCTGTAACTGTCGTCACTTTTGGGCTCCTGAGGCTTGAATATGGAAGAAGTATCGAACGGGAGCCTCGTCTGTGATTGAATTATGAGGAAGTCTCAGGCGGGAGCCCCCTCCCTAAGGGGCCCGCGTATCATGTTACGAATCCGAGCGGGTCATCCTGAAACCTGTAACTGTCGTCACTTTTGGGTTCCTGAGGCTTGAATATGAAGGAAGTCCCAAGCGGGAGCCTCGTCTGTGAGTGAATTGCGAGGAAATCTCAGGCGGCAGCCCCCTCCCGATGGCGCCCGCACATCATGTTCGAATCCGAGGCGGGTCATCGGATTCTACTAACTGTCGTCACTTGGAGGTCTGAGGACGGATGTTCGGACGGATTCACGACCGTGCAGGAGGAGCTGAAGAACAAGGTGGGGCTCGTGCAGGAGCAACGGGCCACCATCGTGTCCTTCGGGTTTCACGCAGACGACGAGCGGGACTACGAGGAGCGCGCGCCGGGCCAGCTCTTCCGCCCCCGCTACCTACCGCAGGGAATCTGGCTGCAGGCGCACGGCTTCCAGGAGTCCCCGATCTACAAGGAGGTCGCCGAAGTGCTGCAGCAGCGCGCGGATGGCGCTGGCGACGACGGCGAGGCCGAGGCGCGGGCGAGGAGGTTGCTCATGTTCAGGCCCAGCGAGCAGGAGCTCACGTGGCAGAGCTCGGGGGCGCACGCTGTGCGCCGCTCGGGGTTCGCCCTGACGCACGCGTCCTACCTGACCTCCACACTGTCGCAGGGCCAGACGCTGCGCAAGGGCGTCACCATCGACTGCGCCAAGGATGAGGACGCTGGCCGCGCGGGCATGTCGGACGAGATGTGGTGGCTGCACCTCTACGTCATGTTCTCCCGCGCCACGCGCATGCGGAACATGCTGATCCTGCGGCCGCCCGCGCGAGAGTTCCTGGAGCGCGGGCCGCCAGCGTCCCTGCGGAAGGCGCTACAGGAGTTTGACAAGAGAGCGGTGGGTTCCAAGGCTGAGGCGGAGCAGCTCGCGTCAGAGCTGGGCTTCGTGCTGCTACCCGCCTGAGCGCCGCGGCGCGCACCTGGAGGCCTGCGGGGTTGTCCCAACGGCTGGCTCCCGCGCCCCTGCGGCCTGCGAGGTTGTCCCAACGGCTTGGCCCGAAGGGTTGTCCCGACGGCTTTGCGATCTACCCGTCGGCAAACGCGCGCGTGCTGGCCGACGCGGCGACGGCGCCGAGGAAAATCGAGTTGCTTGCCACGACCAGGGGGAACGGGAGGTGCACATGGACAAGAGGCAGGAGGATGAGGAGGGAAGGGGCATGGGGGAGGGCGACGACGAGGAGGAGGTAGCGCGAGAGGAGGATGATGATGATGATGATGATGATGATGATGATGATGATGATGAGGAGGAGGAGGAGGAGGAGGAGGAGGAAGAGGAGGAAGAGAAATAGAAGGAGGAATAGAGGGAGTGCAGAGGGCGAGAGGAGAGGGTGTCCGCCAGGGGGAGGAGGAAAGGGCAAAGGGTAAGCTAAACATATTCGCATGTGGGGTCCTACCGTCGGAGAAATTTTCGAACCATCCACTGCTTGGGTTTGTTCTCTCTGGTGTGCTTGCCTGTGGGCGAGGCGAGCATTTGCCCCGCGGCTCATATGGGCCCTTTCCGACACCCCGTATTGCTGGTAAGGAAATATAACTGAAGGAGCCCTGAATGCACACAAATCACCAGATGCCCCATATTTCCCATACTTTCGATGGTTTCGTTTTCCCCCCTCTTCTCATATGTTCGAATATTTTCCTGGAGATCGACGGTTCATTGTGTCTGTGCGTGTTTTTCTTCCTTAGTAGCGTCGGGTTTCAGCTCCGCCTGCCGCATCTCCTTCAACAGCGCCAGAGCCCGCTGCCACTGCTCGCCCTTCCCACAAGCGCCGATCCCAGCGTTGTAGCTGAAGACGTTTGGTTCCAACTTCATCCCCCGCATCTCGCTCAGCATCCCCAGAGCCCGCTGCCACTGCTTGCCCTTCTCGCAGGCGCTGATCCCAGCGCTGTAGCTAATGACGTTGGGTTCCACCTCCTTCGCCCCCCGCATCTCCCTCAACAGCGCCAGAGCCCGCTGCCACTCCTCGCCCTTTTCGCACGCGCTGATCCCAGCATTGTAGCAGACTAGGGCTGACCCGTGGACTCCGTCCACGACATCTTTCTGGAATGGTTCTCGGAGGAACGGCGCAGATTGTACCGAAAATCTACAAACACGGCGGCGGCTCGGGCGGCGGCAGCGAGACCGCGCCTTCGTGTCCGAGCTCTTGCAGCGCTGCAGCAGCTTGGCCCAGCGCACTGCTCGTTCACCCCCCTCCTATTGAGGACAGTTTCGAAGTCTCTCGGGGATGTGCGTCGAAGTCGAAGCCCATCTGAGGCGTCTCAGGAGCGCTCGGGGAAGGGCTCGGGAGGCCATCGGGGAAAGCCACCGAAAGCGCCGGGGAGGCTCGCAAGGATCTACAGGGAGGGCCCAAGAGAGCTTCAAGAAAATTTGAAATCCAGTGAACTCTTAAGAGAAACCGCTGTTGGGTCGGCCATCACCTCCGGGCGCGCCTTGATGGTGCGATCCAGTCGCATCACCGCCAACGGGAGGGTTTGTTCGCCATGTCCCATTCTGTTCGCCCAGAGGGTCTGTGGAGGCCTTCGGGCGAACAGAACGGGACAGGGCAAGGAATGGGGAAGACATGTCCGAATCTCCTGGGCCCCCCAGATGCTCGTCCGAAGAATGCGGAGAGGTCCCAGGGTCATATCAATTGGCTGCTGTCCCAGGGGTCCGGTCTGCTTGGCCCGAAGAGTTTGCCAAGGCCCCTGGGGGAACAGAATGGCACAGCATATCGGGCAAAGGGGGGCGGTAGCTGGCCTGTCAGACCCGGCGTTCGTCTTCTGCCCAAGCGGCGCGGGGCCCACGGGCCCCAGGGTTGGCGTCCCGCTGGGATTCCTCTTGTTCGCCCACAGGGTTGGAGGAGGCCTCCAGGCGAACAGAATGGGGCAGGACAATGAATGTGGGAGACTTGTCGCAAGCTCCCAGCCCCCCCAAGTGTGCGCCCGAAGGGTGTGGGGCCGCGTTGGCTCCCTCAAAGGGCCGTCTTGGAGCCGTCTAGGCCCGTCTTGAGGGCGCCGTTTGCCCTGATGGGGCCGTCTTGGTTCGTCGTGGGCCCCTCATGGGCGCGTCCGTAGGCCGTCCTGGGCCCATCGGGGTCCTCGTGGGGCTGTCTTGGAGCCGTCTGGGACCGTGAGGAGGCCGCCTTGGAGTCGTCTTGGGCCCCTCCTGTGCGCCTCCTTGGGCCGTCCTGGGCCCAGCAGGGGCCGTGTTGGCACCGCCTTGGAGCCGTCTTGAGCCGTCGCAGCGCGCCTTGGGTTGTGCTGGGTCCGTCTTGGCCCGTCTGGGGGCCTGACTGGGCGGTTCCTCGGACCCTCATGGAACTTTCTGGGGCCTCTTGGTGCATCGAACCGCCGAAACGGCGGGAAACGCAAACGGTGTAACAGTAAACAATGGAAAATTAACGATTTTTGCCAGCTGGGACTCTCTTGCCATCTTGGCCCGTCTTGAGGCCCCGAACGGGCGCGTCCTTGGGCCGTCCTGGGCGCACCCTCCTGGGACCGTCTTGGAATCGTCTTGGGCCGTCTTGAGCGCGCCTTGGGCCGTCCTGGGCCGGTTTGGGGCCGTGTTGGCACCCTCGCGGCGAGGAAGCTCGGAGGTGGGCTCGAGGCCTCTTCGGGGCCATTTTGGAAGCTGTTGGGGCCTCTGTAGGGGCCTCGTTTGGGCTCCTTGGGAGCCTCCTGGGGCCTCTTCGGGGGATTCTTGGCGGCCCCTTGGGGCCTCTTGGGGGCCTGTTTGGGCCTCCTGGCGCCCTCTTGGGGCGGAAGGCTCGGATTTTCGGTCCGTGGTCCCCCTCTTGGCCCCCTCTTGGGCCTGTCTTCGGGCCCTCGTGGGCCGTCTTGAGCGTCTCTTGGGTCGTCTTGGGGCCCTCTTGGGCTGTCTTGGGGCGCTCTTGGAAACCTCTTGGGCCGTTCTGGGGCGCTCTTGGAGGCCTCTTGGGCCGTCTTCGAGCGTCGGAAAGCGGAAAAGGCGAGAAGGCCAAAATCCTTCCAAAACCGTCGTAAAGCGGACGATTTTGAGGCCCAAAACCGTCCAAAACCTCCTGAGGCGGTCCCCTCGTCCGCCCCCCTCGCTTCGAAGCAGTTTTTAAGCCCCGTGGCACCTCTTGGGGATCTCTTTTGGGCTCCTGGGGGCCTCTTGGGCCTCCACTGGATTCGCTGCCCTCGGTCGGCAATCGTCGATCCCACGACGACTCTCCCCAACGGAGAAACATCGAAGGCCCTCGGAGCGTCCAACATTGTTCTTTTGGTGCCTTCGATATGCCGGTCGCCTCTCGTCCGCTCCCCCCCTCCTGGAAGCAATTCTGAGGCCACTTTAGGGCTTCGTGGGGACCGTTTGGGGATCTCTTGGGGCGTTTTTGCCTGCGATATGATTGTCGCCTCTCGTCCGCTTCCTCGCTCCTGGAGGGAATTCTGAAGGCACTGAAGGCTTCGTGGGGGCCGTTTCGGAGCCTCTTCGGCCTTCTTTTGGGCCTCCCGGGGGGGCTCTTAGGGCCCTCTCGGGCCGCCTTGGGTGCCTCTTGGGCCGTCTTGGGGCCGTCTGAGACCCGCCTCGGCGCCTCTTGGGCTGTCGTGGGCCGTCTTGGGCCGCTCCTGGGGCCGTCTTGGGTGCCTCTTGGGCCGTCTTGGGCGCCTCCTGGGCCGTCCTGGGGCCGTCCTGGGGCGTCTTGGGACCGTCTGGGGGCCCTCCTGGCCCGTCTTGGGGCTCTCTTGGGGTCCTCTTCGGCCGTCTTGGAGCGGTCGGGGGGGCTTCTTGGTCGTCTTGGAGCGTCGGGAAACCGACGAGGCGAGGAGGCCGAAAACATCGAAAAACACAGTAGAAATCAACGATTTCTGTCGCTCGGGGCCCTCTTGGGAGGCATCTTGAGAGGCCTCTTCGGGCGTCTTGGACGCCTCTTGGGCCGCCTGGGGCGAATCTCGGGCGTCTTGGGCCCATCTTTAAGCGTGCCGGGGCTCTCCGGGGCCGTCTTGGGGGCTTCTGGGGCCCTCTGGACATGTCCTGGGGCCTGCCTGGGCGGCCCGGGGCGGCCCGGGGCCAGCCCGGGGCGGTTTTGAGACATTTGAGCCTGCGCCCTTCTGGCACGCACGTGCTCCTGCAATGTAGTAGAGACTAGGGCTGACCCGCGGACTACCGTCCGCGAAATTTGTCCGAAATACCATGTGGTGTGATGGTGGAGTCGCTGCCAAAAGTCCGCCGACCCCTTGTGGGTCTCTAGGCGTGTGAGATAGTTCCCCCCCCATAACCCCCCCAAGGACCCCAAACCAGAGATTCGACCCCCCCCCCCCGGCCCCCGACGGCCCCGGACAGAGCGCGCCATGGGGGAGCAGAGGGCCCCAAAACGGGCCAAGAGGGCACTTTGACGCCTCTCAGTCGGCCCAAGAGACCCACGAGTCGCCGAAAGATCGAGCCAAGACGTCCAAGATGACATCCAGACGGCCCAAGATGCCTCCAAGACGCTCCCAGACGCCTCCAAGAGGCCCCAAGAGGCGCCCAAGAGGCGTCCCAAGAGGGCCCCAAGAGGCCAAAATTATCGATTCCCGATTGGGAAACGTATATGTTTAACATATACGGCTTTTCAGCTTTGACGGCGTTGAAGACCGGCCCAGAAGCCCCCAAGACCGCCCCAAGACGGCCCAAGGGCCCCCCCAAAGGTCCCCAAAACGGCCCAAGAGGGCGCCAAGACGGCCCAAAAGGCGCCCAGGACGGTCCAAGAGGGCCCCAAGACGGCCCCAAGAGGGGGACCACGAACCGAAAATCCAAACCATTCGCCCCGACAATGTCCCAGCAGGCCCCACGAAGCCCCCACGAGGCCCCCAAGAGGATCCCAAAAACCCCCAAGAGGCCCCCAAGAGGCGCCCACAAGGCTCCAAGAGGCCCCCAAAAAGCCCAAAAGAGGCTCCAAGAGGCCCCAAAACGGCCTCACGAGGCTTCGAAATTGCCTCCGCGAGCCTCGCGAAAAAGCCTGACCCCCCCCCTTCCGCCTCTCCCCCATATTCCCCCTGCTCCTTCCCCTCCTCCGTCCTCCTCCTCCTCCCCCTCCTCCTCCTCCTCCTCCCCCTCCTCCTCCTCCTCCTCTGTTTTCACCTTCTTTGCGTTCCTTTTCTCATCGACCTCGTCCTCCCTCTCGCTCGGACCCCCGCTGCTCCTAATTCTACTGGCCATGGCACGGGCGCCCTACTGGTATCAGTTGCACGCCTTGCATTTCAAGGCGCCCTTCTTCTCGTCACGCGCGACATGGCACGAGTCCACGGAGAATACCGACTTCGGCAATTTCCTCTGGCACTTGCAGCCTGACCCCCCCTTCCGCCTCTCCCCCATATTCCCCCTTGCTCCTTCTCCCCCTCCCTCTTCCTCCTCATCCTCCTTCTCCTCCTCTGCTTTCACCTTCTTTGCGTTCCTCTTTTCATCGGCCTCGTCCTCCCCCTCGCTCGGACCCCCGCTGCTCCTACTTCTACTGGCCATGGCACGGGCGCCCTGCTGGTATCAGTTGCATACCTTGCATTTCAAGGTGCCCTTTCTTCTCGTCACGCGCGACATGACTCGCGCCCACGGAGAAAAAACTACTTCGGCAATTCCCTCTGGCACGTGCCACTGCACTCAAAGGCTTGCCAACCGCGCGCCGTGAACTCGTTGGCAATGCATCCTGCGCATACAACTTTACTCTTCCTCGTGAAGCGCTTACTCTCTTGATCGTCGCTGATGTGTTGCTGCCGAGCGAACTCTTCCTTGCACGCCGCACACGGCAACAGTCGCGTCAACCGCTTCGACTCATCGGCGACCCCTTTCGCGGTTATGTCGCGCTTACTGCAGTCCCCGCACACCGCTCTCGCTCCTTTCTTCGCCCTATGGCCCCCCACCTGGTTGCGATTCAAATGTCCCGTCTCCCAAAAAACTCACCCCGCATGGTGGCGCGCAGCACGTCAGCGGCTTCGCCACCGCCTCTTCTTTACGCTTCCTGTTATTCGACTCGCGCGTAACCTTGTCACGCTCCTGTGCGCATTTCCTACGCAACCTCACCCCCGCTGCGTGGTGCTTCTTCTGTGCATCAGACATGTCCGCCTTCTCCTCGTGCAGCGACAGGCACTTCTCGCTCGAGCATCGCACAGTGCCGACGCTGTCGCTCCACTTCGCGTTGCCGCTCCGCGAGTTCTTCATCGCTTGGACATGACTGCACTTCGCGCAGTACAGTGTTCGAATCCTTTTTCGTCTCCCCGTCGCCGGCCGCTGCGTCCGCGTTCCGACCGCTACCATGCCGCGCCGCATCTTCCCCGTCCGCTCTCGTTGCCCACCCTTTGCACGTCGCGCGCCATTTTTCGCTTGCGTTTTTGTTCATCTCTTCCGTGCATTATTTGCAGAACTCTGGCCTTTCCTTCCTCTGGAATTCGTACTTCGTGAACGCCTCCATAAGCAACCTCCAGCAGCATCGCTCGCGCTGGTCTCGTGGCATTAGTTCCGCTTCCCATTCATCCCAATCCACGCTCTCCCCTCGTAGCACCTGCAATATTTTTTGCGCCCGCCACCTCACCTGCGTTACACGGCTTCCTATCAAAAAGGCCTGAAGATCAGCAGGTTCTCTCGCCTGCGCACGCGAGTGATGGCAACGTAACTTGACATCCAACTGACGCCGCGTTCTCTTTCCAGGTCCGCTATCGCTGCCCCCATGGTCCGGCCCTGCGCTGGGTGCGCCGTCGCTGCCAACGACGGGGTTGTCATAAACTGCGTTCGCTTGACACTCAATACTGGATGCTTCCGATACCCGTCCAAGAACCATTGCCGCCCTTTCGATGGGAAGATCGGATGCAGCCCCGGCTCCCGCCCTGGCAGGTGCCACTCCTTCGTATGGAAGTCCACCACAATCACTCTCGGTAGATGCAACAACTCTTCCTCGTCTTCATCTCCAACGACCTCGTCCTCGTGCAACACCCATCCATGGATCGTCGCTGTGCGCCCCCGCAGAAGCTGCTTCGTTGACCGATCCAAGTGATCTCCGAACGCCACGGGCATCCCCTTGGCCAGCGGCAGCCACCCGGGCAAGCTTGCGCACTCCTTCTCGTGGTACCCCAGCCATCAGGAAGCCCCCGAGAGGCCCCAAAACTTGGCCCAAGATGCCTCGGGGCGGCCGGATATGGCCTGCTGACAGGCCAAGATGCCACCAAAAGGCCGCAAAACAGCACCAAACAATACGATAACAGCAACGAAGCAACAGGAACGATGTCGAGCGCCGTGTCATGATTCGAACAATCCTCGTGAATTGCAGTCCTGGAGACGCAGTAATTTATATAGGGGTCGGCGGCGGCATCGGTCCCGAAGCCCGAGTAGGGAGGACCGAGGAGGAGCGATAAGTGAGGAGGGGCGGTCTTGGGTGGCTCTTCGGCCGTCATCTTCAAGCGTCTTGGACGACTCTGGGGCCGTCTTCGGACCCTCTGGGGCCGTCTCGGGCGCCTCAGGGGCCATTTAGGGATCGTCTTGGGCCGTCTTTGACCGCTCGTGGAGCTGTCTTGGCCGCCTCGTTGGGCCACCATGGGCGCCTGAGGAGCCGTCCTGGGGCCGTCCTGGTGCCGTCTTGGTGCCGTCACAGGGGCTTCCAGAGGCGTGTTGGGGCGATCTTGGGGGCCTGCATGGCCGTCTTGGACGCGCTTCGGACGCAAAGTACGGGAATTACAAAACATACGTTGTCCTGAAAGATTTTGATGATTTGTCCTTGTTCGGGCTCTCTTGGGGCTCGTCTTGGAGCCCACTTGGAGTATCTTGGGAGGCCTCTTGGGCCGTCGGGAGGGTATCTTGGGCGTCTTGGAGCGCTTTTGGACCTTCCTCGGAGGCCCTCTTAGGCCGTCTTGGCGCGTCTTGGGGCGCTCGTGGGGGCCTCTGGGTGCGTCTCGGAGCGCTCTTGGGCCATCTTGGAGTGTCTCGGAGCGCGCCGGGGCCTGCTGGGGCTCCAAGGGGCCGCCGGGGCGCCTGCCAAGTCATTTTGGTCCGAATCGTATTTTTCGAACGCGCGGGGCCCTGCAATGTAGTGGAGACTGGACTGACCCGTGGGCTACGTCCACTTACGGGGTGAAGCGTGTGGGGGCCTCTGGGAGTGTCATTGCGACGCGGGGCGCGACCCTCGCATTCGGCGCATGCCTCTGCACGGTATTGCTTGCTGCCGCTGTTGCATGTTGTTGGTAATGTTTGCTGGTGCTGCTGCTGCTGTATGTCGTTGTTGCTTGTGGCTGAAGGGTGCTGCGGATGGCCACGTCTGAGTGGTGCGCGTTGCTGACCGCCACCTTCTGCTGCTGCTGCTGCTGCTGCTGCTGCTGCTGCTGCTGCTACTGCTGTCTGCTGTTGCTATGCGCTGACGCTAGTTGCCTGCTTCGTGTTTCGTGCTGCTGCCTCCGAGAATGGGAGCGGTGTGGACTGCCCCAGGACGATCTTGAGCCACCTTGAGGCTGAATTAAAGTCAAGGCTAGAAATCAAAAATAATCAGTGTGCCTTCTTTTCTAACGATGTACCATGGGGGCTTGGGCCGCCCGAGGAGGTCGGAGGATACGGGCGGGCTGCGTGGGCTGGGGAGAAGGTCGCAGGCACTGCGGAGCATGCCCCCAGATGGCCAGCCTGTCCGCCGGAGCACTCTCAGAAAGAGCACCCGGACGAGGCGGCCATTCAGACCGGCGCCGTTGCAAAGGAGGGGAGAGAATGAGAGGCGCATGGGCGCCGTATTTTCCTGGGTGGCCGGCGCGGTCCCAGAGCCCTCTGAGAGACCTTCCCTCGAAGGCCTCTTGGCGGCGTTTCCCGCACAACAGAATGATAAAAACCAGGATGCCAAAAGGGCGTTGAAGCTTCATGGGCCACTTTTAGGGAGGTGCCTAAGCAGCCCCATGGAAGGCGGTTGAGCGTCGGCATGAGCAGCTCCAAGAGCAGCTTCAGCTGCGCACAGGTTCCCAATCTTCGGGATGTGTGCAGAAACATAGAAAACAATATCCCAGTGCGACCCTACCTAGGAGTTGGAGCCTCTAGGAAAGAAACATTAGTAGGAGCGGTAAACGCCGTCCTCCTCCTTCTCCTCATCGTCGTAGATGTAGCAGTAGCGTGCTATGCTATGCTATGCTATGCTCTGCTCTGCTATGCTATGCTATGCCATGCTATGTAATGCTGCGCAATGCTATGCTGGGCTAGGCTGGGCTAGGCTATGCTATGCCATGCTGCGCTATGCTATGCTGCGCTATGCTATGCTATGCTATGCTATGCTATGCTATGCTATGCTTTTGCTTTGCCTTCGCGTTTGCCTTCACTTTTGCCTTTGCTTTTGCTTTTGCTTGGCACCCAGGGAGCGCAACTGGGGGAACCGCGCGTTTGCTTTTACCTTTGCTGTTGCTTTTGCTTGGCTCCCAGGGGACTGGGGGAACTGCCCGGGGCGGTTTCCACTGCCCGGCCCCTTCAAGCTAGAGAGTAAGAATCCTTCTAGGCAGAGCCTAGGTAAGGAATTACACAAGCTGGCGAAACGAATACCCGTTTCTGGACTGAGGCGATGCGTCACAATAAAAGGTCGCAGGACGGAGCCGTCTGGAGCCGTCTTGGGGCCATTTGGGGGCTCTCTGGAGGCTCTCGGGAGAGCGCGGGGGCTGGCAAAGACGAAATTGGTCCTTTTGGAGCACCCGCTTCTCCCGGCCATGTAGGAGAGATGACGTTGGGCTCCAGCTTCGCCTCCCGCATCTCGCTCAGCATCGCCACAGCCCGCTGCCATTGTTCGCCCTTCTCGCACGCGCTGATCACGGCGCTGTAGGAGAGACTAGGGCTGATCCGTGGACTACGTCCGATTGTGGGGTGAAGCGTGTGGGGGTCTCTGGGGGTGTCATTACCACGAGGGGCGCGACCCTCGCATTCGACGCATGCCTCTGCGCGGTGCTGCTTGCTGCATGTGTTGCTGCTTGTTGGTAATACTTGCAGCTGCTGCGTGTCGTTGTTGCTCGTGGCCGAAGGGTGCTCCAGGTGGCCACGTCCGAGTGGTGCGCGCTGCTGACCGCCACCTTCTGCTGCTGCTGCCTGCCGCTGCTGTGCGCTGACGCCGTTGTTGCCTGCTTCGCGCTTCGTGCCGCTGCCTGCGAGAGTGAAGGCGGCCTGGGCGGCCCCAGGACGATCCCGAGCCACATCGAGGCTGCAGTAAGGTCAAGGCTAGAAATCGAAAAGAATCAGTGTGCCTTCCTTTCTGAAAAAATCAAAAAAAAATCAAAGAAGGTCAAGGCTAGAAATCAAAAATAATCGGTTTGGACTGCCCCAGGACGATCTTGAGCCACCTTGAGGCTGAATCAAGGTCAAGGCTAGAAATCAAAAAACAAACATGTGCCCTCTTTTGTAATGATGCTCCATGGGGACGGGGCCGCCCGAGGAGGTCGGAGGATGCGGGCGGGCTGCGCGGGCTGGGGAGAAGATCGCAGGCACTGCGGAGCATGCCCCCAAATGGCCAGCCTGTCCGGAGCACTCTCAGAAAGAACTCCCGGACGAGTCGCCCATTCAGACCGGCGCCGTTGCAAAGGAGGGTAGAAAACGAGAGGCGCATGGGCGCCTTATTTCCTGGGTGGCCGGCGCGGTCCCAGAGCCCTCTGAGAGACTTTCCCTCGGTAGCCTCTTGGCGACGGTGTTGGGGGTGTCTTGCGGCCTCTCGAGGGCCTCTTGGGACCTCATTTCGGCCTCTTGGGGGACCTTCTGGGGCGTCTGGGGGGCCTCTTGGGGGCCAGCTGGCGGTTTCGGGGATCATCCTGGAGCGGAGGGCGCGAACTGCTATTTCGAGTTCCGCGGGGGGCTCTTGGGGTCGTCTTGGGCCAACTTGGGGTCCTGCTGGGCCGTCCTGGGGCCCTCTTGGGCTGTCTGGAAGCTCTCTTCGGTGTTTCTACGGCCATCTTGGCGCGATCTTGGGGGCCCTGTGGCCGGCGGCTTGGAGCGTGGAGACTCCGAAGAGGCGAGAACGCTGAAGCCCTTCAACCCCCCCCAAGAGAAATCAATGCTTTTGGCCTCTCGGGGCTCCGCTTGGAGGCCTCTTGGGCCGAGGCCCTCTCTAGGATCCTCTTCGCGTCGCATTAGGCCGTGTTAGGGGACTCTTGGGCCGCCTGGAAGCCATCGTGGATCGTCTGGATCCGTCTCGGGCCATCTTGGATCGTCTTCGGGCCATCTGAGGACCCTTTGAGCCGTCTTGGAGCGTCCCGGGGTGAGCGTGGGCCGGCCTGAACGCGGCGACCCCGGCCGGCATTGTACCAGCGATGACGTTGGGCTCCAGCTTCGAATCCCGCATCTCGCTCAGCAGTGCCAGAGCCCGCTGCCACTGCTCGCCCTTCTTGCAGGCGCTGATGCCAGCGGTGTAGCTGATGACATCGGGCTTCAACCTCACCTTCCACATCTCGGTCAGCAGCGCCGAAGCCCGCTGCCACTGCTCACCCTTCCCGCACGCGCTGATCCCAGCGCTGTAGTTGACCAGTGTGAACCCATGGATGAAATCCGCGGTGTGCTGAACATGGGGCTCGCACGCCGTGGGTGAACAGCTCGTCGAAATTGAACAGCTCGGGCGTCCCTGGCGCCGTGTCGGGGGCATGCTGGGCCCTCCTGCGAGCCTTCTTGGGGCGGCTTGAAGGCCTCTTGCGGTTTTTGGGCTCTGGAGCAATTCCAGGGCTGTCCCCCAAAGCCTCTGGGGGACAGCCCAGGAAGCCTTGAGAGAATACTATTGCAAGGGGTTGCGTTGTGGCATCCAACGAGGCTCGCTCAGGAAGGCCTGAAGACGGCCGAAGCCGGGGCTAAGAGGGGCTGCGTCGGGAGCTTTCTGAGGCCTTCTCAAGCCCTCTTGGGGAACTCCTGGCGCGTCTTGGGAGGCACCTGCAACTCGAGCAAGTCGTCGGGGGCCTGTCTTGGGCCAGCTTGGAGTCTTCTTGGGCCGTCTTGTTGAGGCCATCGGGGCCTTTTGGGCCATCGTGGGGCGATCGCCTGCGTGGGGCCGTTTTGGGCCGTCATGGCGAGTGCGGGAATCACTGGAGAACACACGGTTTTTGCTTGATTTCTGGTCTCGTGAATCCGTCTTCGGAGTCCTCGTGGGCCCTCTTGGGTCGTACCGGGGGCCCCTTGGGCCACCTTCGGGCCATGATGGAGGTTGAGGCCGTCTGGGAGTCTTGTTTGGGCCCTCATGGGCAGCTCCTGTGGCGTCTCGGGGGGCAACCTGAGGGCCTGTTCTGGGCTGTCGGGGCCCTCGCTGGCCGTCTTGGTGGGCTTGTGAGGGCCTCTTAGGTCATCTCGGTGCGATCTTTGAAAGACCTGGAGCCGCGTGGGGCCGTTCTGGGCCCGTCCTGGGGAGAACGTGGGAAATCCGTAGAAAATATATGGCTTTGGGTTCGATGTTCGCCTCGTGGGGCCGTCATCGGGGTCCTCCTGGGCCCTCTTGGGCCGTCCTGGGGCTATGTTGGGGGTCTCGGGCCGTCTTGGAGCTCGCTTCGGTGCTTATTGAGCAGCTCCCGGGGCCCTCTTGGGGCTATCTTTGGGGCCGCCGGGAGCTCTATGAGGCTGTCTTGGGCATTCTCGGGCAATCTTCAGGCTCTCTGGGGCCGTCTTGGGGCACCTGGCGGGGCCTCCTGGATCGTTATGGGGCGATCTAGGGTGGCCCTGCGGTCGTCTGTGGCCGCCTTGGCCCGAAATGGCGAGAACACGGCCTCAGGGGGACGGTCGTCGGGGTCCGGCTGGGGCGTCTTCGGAGGCACCTGGCCCGTCGGCGGGCCGTCCTGTGCTGTCGTGGAGCTCCGTTCGGGCTCTCTTGGACGTCCTCGCGCCCTCCGGAGCGCCTCGAAGGAATATTCGAGCTGCCTGAGGAAATGGAGCCACCTGGGGGCTCTCTGGAACCGTCCGAGAGCGGCGGGGCGCTCCGGGCGCTCGGGGGCATCTCGCGACCTCCTCGCCCTTTTCGCACGTGCATCGACCAGAATCCCACCAGCCCTCTGGGCGTAGGTGGTCTAGGGCGGTTTCTCTTTCAACCCCTCCGATGTCCCCTTCGGGGAGGGGCTTACCCTTCCACCAGTGAGTCCCCCAACCCCCTTTCCTGGACCTGGAGAGTTTTTTTTCGCGAGCGGTCAGAACATCCAAGATGGCCCAAGATGGCTCCAAGAGGGCCTCAGAAATCCCCACCAACCTGACCTCCAAGGTGGCACATGATAGCCCAAGATACCCCAAGATGGCTCCCAATATGCTCCAAGAGGTGCCAAGACCGTTCCAAGACGGTTCCAACTGGCCACGGTGCGTCTCACGGAGGCCGCCAAGAGGCTTCCGAGGCCTCAAGGCAGCTCCAAGAGAGCTCCAGAGAGCCCCAAGAGAGGCCTGAGAGGGCCCCAAGACGGCCCGAAGAGCACCCAAGAACCCCCCAAGAGCGCTCCAAGAGGGGTCCGAGAGACGATTCTAGGCACTCTAGACGGGCAGGTTAATTGAAGCTCCTTCCTTATGTAATCGGTATCCTCCAAGATGGCTCCAAGAGCGTCCCCAAGTTTCCTAATGGCGCCCAAGAGGGCCCAAAGAGTTGCCAAGGAGGCCTCAAGAGGCTCCCCAAGGTGCGCAAGAGGCCCCCGGGACCGCCAAGACGCCCCGAGAAACCCCCAAACTCGCCACTGTCCTCCTCCTCTTCCTCCTCCTCCTCCTCCTCCTCCTCCTCCTCCTCCTCCTCCTCCTCCTCCTCCTCTTCGTTTTCGTCCGCCTATTTTTCCCCCTCCCTCTCCCTCCTCCCCCTCTCCTCCTCCTCCTCCTCCTCCTCCTCCTCCTCCTCCTCCTCTTCCATCTCTTCTCTCCTCCTCTCTCCTCCTCCCCCTCCCTCCTCCCCTCCTCGACTGGTCTTCCCCATCCTCCTCCTCCACCTCCCCTTCCTCCTCCGCCTTCTCCTCCTCATCTTCCTCCTCCTGGTCGTGCCCCCTCCTCCTCCTCCTCTCCTCCTCCTCCTCCTCCTCCCTCATCATCATCATCATCATCATCATCATCATCATCATCATCATCATCATCATCATCATCATCATCATCATCATCATCATCATCATCATCATCATCATCATCATCATCATCATCATCATCATCATCATCATCATCCTGGTTTTCCTCCTCCTCCTCATCCTTCTCCTCCTTGTCCTCCTCCCCCTCGTCCTTCTTCCACGCCTGTCCTCATTCGGCGGGTCCGCGAAAGCGCATACGGCTCGCTCCCGGGTCTGCGCAGGCTGATCCAAGACTTCAATCTGACGGCTTCCCCAGCTCGTGATCCACTGCATGCTCCTCCGCTTCCCTGATCAAGGCAACTCGCCTGGGCATCGTTTCTGGATGGGCTGGTCGGGATATTTTTTTGTTCGGCGGCCCGCAAGGAGAAGTCCAGAGGGCGCGTCAATCAACGGCAAAGGGGCGCGATGCCAGATAACTCGAGAGGGCCAGGCCGCAAAAGGAGGAAGCCGCCAAGAGGGCGCCAACCCACGCACGTGCAACATGCAGAAAGGGACGACAGCGGCACCATGCCAGAATATTAGACCGACCGTCCTAACAACAGCCGACCGGACCAGCAGGCGGACACAAACCCTGCACGGGGCAAATTCTAGATAGCGGACCGTCCTGACGACAGCCAGCCGCGACGGCAGGAAGGCACACAACCAAACCTGCACGAAACAAATTCCAGAAGGCCAGACGCCGATAGAAGGAGGGCAGCCGAGAGGGCGCCGACCCCACGTGCAGCATGCAAACCGGGACGACTGAGGCGCCCAGCCGGAGTATTCGACGGGCTGCCCTAACAACAGCCGACCACATGGACACGCAGGCGCACGCCCCACGGGATATGGTCTGGTCGGGATACGCGAAGCGCCACGACTTGTAGTACAGACTAGGGCTGACCCGTGGACTATATCCGCTTACGGGGTGAACGGGTGCGGCCGTCAGGCGATCAGGATAGATGGCGTCATGTTCGCATCGCGGGGGCGATTTTGGAAGCGTTCTGTATCCTATCAAGGGCCTCTTGGGACCTGATTTGGACCTCTTCGGGTGCCTTCGGGAGCGTCAGGGTGGCCTCTTGGGGCCGAGCTGGCGGTTCCTGGGATCATCCTGGCGCGGAGGGCGCGAAAGGTCAGTTCGAGTTCCCCCTCGCGGGGCCCTCTTGGGGCCGTCTTGAAGGCCTCGTGGGCCGTCGTGGGGCCCTCTTGGGCTGTCTGGATCCTCTCTTGGGTGCCTCTTGGGCCATCTTTGGCGCGATCGTGGGAGCCCTGGGGCGGGCTTGGGGCGTGGAGGCTCCGAAGAGCGAGAACATTAAACTGGAGCCTTTGCAAAGGAGAGGAGGGCGTCAGATTTTCCTGGATGGAGGAGGGGAGGACATAAAAGGCGCATGGGCAACTTTTTGTCCAGCTCTCTGGGGAACCTTCCCTCGGAAGCTTCTTGGAGGCGGTGTTGGGCGTGTCTTGCGGCCTCTTGGAACCTGATTCGGGCCATTTCGGGGGCCTTCTGGGGCGTATGGGGGGCCTCTTTGGGGCGAGCTGGCGGTTCCTGGGATCATCCCACAGCGGAGGGCGCGAAATGTCTGTCATTTCGAAATCACCCTCGTGGGGCCCTCTTGGGACCGTCTTGGGGGCCTCTTGGGCCGTCTCGGGGCCCGCTAGGGCTGTCTGGGAGCTCTCTTGCGGGTCATCTTGGCACGATCGTGGGAGCCCTGGGACTGGCCTGGCTTGTCGAGACTCCGAAAAGAACGCTAAAACCTTCAGAATCAATGAATTTGGCCTCTCGGGACCCTCCTCGGGGGCGGCCTTCTGGGCCGTATGGGGGGGCCTCTTTGGGGCGAGCTAGCGGTTCCTGGGATCATCCCTGAGCGGAGGGCGCGAAATGTCGGTCAGTTCGAATTCCCCCTCTCGTGGGGCCCTCTTGGAACCGTCTTGGGCTGGGGGCCTCTTGGGCCGTCTCGGGGCCCCCTAGGGCTGTCTGGGAGCTCTCTGGAGGGCCTGTTGGGTCATCGTGCCGCGATCTTGGGTGCCCTGGGGCCGTCTCGGAGCGTCGAGGTTGCGGAAAGGCGAGGACGATGAAACCCTTCAGGAATGAAAAAGGAATCAACACCCCTCGTGGGGCCCTCTTGGGACCGTCTTGGGGTCCTATTAGGCCGTGTCGGGGCCCTCTTGGACTGTCTGGAAGCTCTCTTGGGGGCCCATTTAGGCGATCCTGCAGGATCCTGCGCGCTGGCCCGTGGCATTGCACCCCTGGCTCTGTAGGATCCTGCAAGTTCCGGTGCTCGGGTTGATCCTCGTTTGCATTGACCCCTGTTTCAAGGCTCCCGGTTTGGGGGTAGCTCGGAGTCTCCGGGGCCGTCTCATTATGTCGCATCCTTGGGGGGCCTCGCCTGTCCCATCGTGCCAACTATCCGAGTCGCGGCCGCGTCGGGCCCATGTCGAACGCACCGAGCCCGTGCCGAGTCCACGTCGGCGCCACGCCGAATCCGCGTCGAGCCCACGCCGGAGCACACGAAGAGACTGCCTAGTGCAGGGCAGGAAGTGCCCCCCGAAGATGGTCAGGAACTCTCAGGAAGGCCCCCCCTGGGCCCCCCCTCTGGGGGCCGTCCGCGGCGCGGCGGGCCCCAGGCAGGCCCACAGGGCCGCCGCCCGTGTCCCTGGGCCCTTTTTCGAACGCGCTGCCCCCAGCATCGTGTGCAGCGGAGGCCGTGTCCACGAGAAGCCTTTCCACACGAAACCCGGCCATGAGACCCCAGAGCGTCCATTGGTTTTTGGCGCGGGAGCGCCAAGTTTCCCATCGCAGGCCATCGAAGCCCAAGACACCCAGGGCACCCTGGAGGCAAGCAGGGTGCTTCTTGACATGGGCCACCACTGTAGATGAGCTGACGTCGGGCACCAGGCTCGCCTCCCACATCTCGCTCAGCAGCGCCAGCGCCCGCTGCCACTGCTCGCCCTTCTCGCACGCGCTGATTCCAGCGCTGCAGCTGACTAGGGCGAACCCGTGGACTTCGTCCACGTCATCTTGGGCCAGTCTTGGCTCGAAACGGCCGTCTTGGGCCTGTCTTCGCTCGAAATGGCGAGAAGGTGGAAATCTTGTAGAAACCATCGAAGAATCAATGATTTCGTTTGCCGCGGCTCGTCTGGAGTGTCTTCCAGCGGTCTTGGGCCGTCTCGGAGGCCCTCGTGGACCGCTTCCTTCTCTTCGTCCGCCTTCCGCTCTACCTTCGCCTAGACAGCCTTCGGAGCGTCACAGACGGCTATGGTGGGTCTGCGGTGTACGTCTCGCCGCTTGTCAATTTTGAAAGCACCTGGGGCCTTGAAAAAAGTCGCCCGGAGGGCTCTGGTGACTTTTTCCCGGTTGCCTCTTCGAAACCTGATGGCGGGCGCTGCCATCCCCTTGGGAACGGTTAGTGGGCCTCTCGGGGTTTCTTTTCGAGCTCCTGGGGGCCTCTTGGGGCCTCGTTGGCTGTCTTGCGGCCTCCTAGGGAATTCTTGTAGCTCTCTTGGGCCGTCTTGCGGCCTCCTGTTGGGCCTTTTCTCTTGAAGTGGCTTTGGGCGCCCCTGGGGCCGTTCCCGGGCTGTCCCCCCGAGCCTTTTCCGGGGGACAGCCCAGGAAATCTATTGTGCGTGCGTGCTGTGCGTGCGTGCTGCTGTGCGAGAGGTCGGAAGGGTGTCCCGACGTCACCGCTCGCTCTTGGGATCTTTGCCTGGGAGAGCTCTCTACGCTGCGTCTTGCTCTTGGGAGCCTTGGTGAGAAGAGCTTTGTACTTCACCGATCGCTCTTTTAATGGGCGTCTCTGGGCCTGCTTGGTGGTCCTTGTGGGGGTCTTGTTCGGGCCATTCTGAAGCTTGTTTGGGCTGCTCTGGGAGCGTTTTGGCACGTTTTGGAGCCATTTTGGGCCGTCACGGGGCGTCCGGGAGGCCTTGGACCGTCTTGGAGCTCTCTTGAGGCTGGCCGAGGCCGTTTTGGGAGCCTCTCTTGGGGCCGTCTTGGGGTTCTGTGAAGCCGTTTCAGGGCTCTCTGGCGTCGTCTTGGAGCTCTTGTGGGCCGTCTTGGAGCCCTCTGAGGGGCCGCTGGCGTCTTCTTGGGGCCATTTGGGAGGCCTCTTGGCGTGTCCTGGGCTGCTGAGGAGCACACAAGGAGGGCATGCTGAAAATATACGCTTTCCCATGGGAATTTGACGATTTGTGCCTCTTTGGCGTGCGCCCGGGGCCCTCTTGGGGCGTCTTTGCGGCCTCTTGGATCGTCGTAGAGCCCCCCCCTGGAAGGCTTCGGGTCTTCGTGGGCCGTCTCGGGACCCACTGAGGCCGTCTTGGAGCGCTCTTGGACGGTCTGGGAACCCCTCTGGAGCGCCTCTGGGACCGGCCTGAGCGATTCGGCCCCGTGGTGGCGCCGTAAAGGGGCGATTTTGTGCACGTGAGGCCCGGAAAGATTCTCGCACGCGCTTCCACTGGTCATGTAGGAGAGACTAGGGCTGGCCCGCGACGCTCTGGCCGCGGAATATGCCCGCCATGGTGTGGACGTGGAAATGGAGCATCTCTGGAGCCTCGCGGGGGGGGATGTTGGAGGGGACGGTGTGGATGGAGGAAGTGGCCGCTGGAGGGGGAGATAGGCGAGGGATGCAGGCAAGCAGGCCTGAAAGCAGGGACGCGGTGGTGGGGGCGGTGTCAATGGAAGCATACCCTTGTAAGCACGACATGGTGTGGACAGACGCTGGTTCTCACGCCGCGCTCTGTGTTCATCATAGCTTCTGCGGGGTGGGTCGCCATGACAATTCGATCTCCTCTTCGCCGGGGCCAAATGGTAACCCTTTTTCTGGAAAGTGGTGAGAATGGGGCTGATGGGCGCGGCCTAAGAGGCCCGCAAGAGGGCGCCTAGGCGGCCCAAGCAGTCTCAAGGACGGGCGAAAAGGCTTCCCAGTCGGCCCAAAGAGGACCCCATGAACTCGAGCCTTGAGACGGGCCCTGGTGCGAGGACACGAATCGACCGTTTGAGCGCACCGCCCCAAGACGTCCCCAAAATGCCCAGAGATGGCTCCCAGAGGGTCCAGGAGGCCCCCAAGACGACGCTGAAGTTTGACGCTCCCCGAGAGAGAGGCACCCAAGGCCTCTTGGGGGCCGCTGGGAGGCCTCTTTTCGTCCTCCTGGGGGTCTATCGGGGCCCTCTTGGGCCGTCTTCAGTGCCTCTTGGGGCGTCTTGGGGCGATGTGGGGCTGTCTTGGGCGCCTCTCGGGCCATTTTGGGGCCGTCTTGGGGCCATCTTGGGCCGTGATTGGGCGCTCTTGGAGTTGTCTTGGGTGCCTCTTGGGCCGTCTCGGGCGCCTCTGGAGCCGCCCCGGGGGCGTCTCGAGCCGTTTTGGGACCCTTGTGGGGGCGTCTGGGGCCGTCTTGGGGCGATCCTGGGGGCCTGTACAGCTGCGCAAACGGAAAGAACAAACATATCAAAAAGATACGCTGTTCGAAAGGAATGGGATGACTCGTGCCTCTTGGATCGGGCGTTGGCAGAACTGGGTTTAGTGGAACCTGGTTTAGTGATCTGTACCGGGGGCGCCCCCCAGGAAAAAACACAGAAAAAACACCAGCTATGGCAAACCTGGTTTAGTGATTCTGGCCAATTCAAAGGCTCCAGGGCCCCACCACTAACCGGGTCCCCTTACCTGGGGTCCTGGCCATACCCGATTGGAACTCTCCTGGGGGCCCTCTTGGGCCGTCTCGGGAGCCTCCCGGCCTGTCTTGGAGGCCTCTGGGGCCCTCCTGGGGTTCGCTCGGGGTCCTCTTGGGGCGTCCGGGCGCCCTCTCGAGCGCCTCTGCGCCGTCTTTGAGCCGCTCTTGGGCGCTATTGGGGCGTCTTGGGCGCCCCTTGGGCCGTCTCGGGCGCCTCCGGAGCTGTCCCAGGGCCGTCTCGGGCCGTTTTGGGGACCCTCCTGGATGCGTCTGGGAGCGTCTTGGGGCAGTCCTGGGGGCCCGTACAGCCGTTTTAAAAACTGTACAAACAATTATCCTGGCGAAAGACCCAACCATATGCAGTTGTGAGTGCCGCAATTGTGAGTACCTTCTTCGGTGGCGCTCCCTATGGGGCCACGAACCGCATGAGGGGTATGCCGAAATATGGCGGGGTACACAACGCAAAGGAATACGATAGGTCAGATTACGAAAGAATGAACGCGGGTGAGCCAGAGCGCGAGAGAGTGCGAGTGTGAATGGGTATGCGCGGGAGTGAATAGATTTGCATGAGTGCGATCTTGGCTACGCCTAGTGTAAATGTATATGAATGTGAATGGCTCGAGCGCGCCTGTCCGAACACTCGTGACACTGGGCGTGGCCGCCGCAGGCAGCTTCCGCGGGAACCCCGACGGCAGCGCCCGCGCGCCGCGACGCCCATGTCGGCACGCCCCTCACAGGGATCGCACCCGCCCCCGCCCCTCCTTTTCCCCCCTCTTTGTCTGCGCGCTCCAAAAATCCAAATCTGCGGGCGCAGAGCAGCGCGGAGCCCCCGCGACGCGCGCAGGTCGCCGCGGAGGGGTCCCAGCGACGCGCGCAGGTCGTCCGCTGCGCGGAGCGCAGAGAGCTAGCCGGCCGGCTGATTGCGGGCAAGGCTCCGGCCGCTGGGCAGAGCGACGACGGGCGAGCGAGGCGCTGAGCAGAGCGCCGCGCGGAATCCCCGCGACGCGCGCTGGTCGCCCCGAGAGGGTCCCAGCGACGCGCGCGGGTCGTCCGCGGCGCGAGGCCGAACAATTATGCGGGCAGTCGAGAGAAGGCGCGGCTCGGGGGGGGCGCCCCTCAGGTCAGGCCTCGCGGATAAACTCGGCGAAGCCGAGCTCCCTGGCGAGGGCCGTCGCCTCCCTCCTGCGCCACTTCGTGCGCGCTGCAAATTGCTCCAGCTGCTTTCGCAGGCCCTCCGGCGGTCCTGCCAGGAAGAACTCGATGCGCGGCGCCCGCATGAGCAGGAGGTCCTCGTGGCGCGTGGCGCGCGAGAGCAGCGCATAGAGCTCCAGCCACCAGTCGTCGTCCTCCTTCTTGCCGTTCCCGACCTCGTGGCGGCCGCAGTCCAGGATCACACCTGGGCGACTCGGCCGAGGGAGCAGTGCGCCGGGCAGCCGACGGCCCAGGGCGAGAGTCCACAGGACCGAGGTCTGGCCGCGGACTGCTCGCGCCCCGGAGGTCTGGCCGTCCCCGGAGCGCCGTTCCCCCGCCCCGTCGCCTTCGCGCATGGTGCGCCCCTGGCACGCCACCGTGGTGATGACCCTGCCGTGCGAGAACGGGAAGCCCGTCCGCGTGACCTTGGAGGTGCGGAAGGTGAACGGCTCCGACGTGCGGGGCTCGATGAACACCAGCGGGCCCGCGAGGTCCCCCTGTGAGGCTGTCGTCGCGGCGTGAGGGGTGTGCCAAAAAGGGGCGGTGGCGCCATGCGAGCTGCGCCACTTGGACCTCAGGTGGAGCTCCCTGAGGGGCCACGAAATCTGTGAGGGGTGTGCCAAAATGGGGCGGTGGCGCCATGCGAGCTGCGCCCGTGAATGGAGCTCCCTATGGGGCCACGAAACGTGTGAGGGGTGTGCCAAAAAGGGGCGGTGGCGCCATGCGAGCTGCGCCACGTGGACCTTAGGTGGAGCTCCCTATGGGGCCACGAAACGTGTGAGGGGTGTGCCAAAAGGAACTCCCTGAGGGGCCACGAAATCTGTGAGGGGTGTGCCAAAATGGGGCGGTGGCGCCATGCGAGCTGCGCCACTTGGACCTCAGGTGGAGCTCCCTGAGGGGCCACGAAACGTGTGAGGGGTGTGCCAAAATGGGGCGGTGGCGCCATGCGAGCTGCGCCACTTGGACCGTAAATGGAGCTCCCTATGGGGCCACGAAACGTGTGAGGGGTGTGCCAAAATGGGCGTGCGGGACGCATGCGGGCACACCCACTGGGACCTTCGGTGGAGCTCCGTATGGGGCCACGAAGCGTGCGATGATGGCGACGAGGACAACGATGATGGTGATGACGACGATGATGGTGATGATGACGATGATGGTTATGATGGCGGCCATGATGTTGATGCTGATGACGAGGATGATGATAATGATGATGATAATGATGATGATGACGATGATGATGACGATGAGGATGATAGGAGGGGAGAGGAGGCGGAGGAGGAGAGGAGGAGGAAGGAGACGTGGGGCACCGTCTCTTCAAAACGAGGACCCAACACCACAGGATGGTTGGGAAAAAAACGGACATAGGAAAGGGAATGAGACGATTTGTGCCTCTTGGGGCTTTCTGGTCCTCCTGGGCCGTCTTGGGAGCGTCCTGGCCTGCCTTGGAAGCCTCTGGGGACTGTCTTGGGTGCCTCTTGGGCCGTCTCGGGCGCCTTTGGAGCCGTCCTGGGTGTCTCGGGCCGTTTTGGGACCCTCGTGGGGGCGTCTGGGGGCGATCATGGGGGCCTGTGCAGCCGTCTTGGAGACTGTGCAGACGAGGAGAGCTGACATTGGAAAAATTAACATTTTCCGAAGGGAATGGGACGACTTGTGCCTCTTGGGGCTCTGCTGGGGGTCCTCCTGGGCCGTTTCGTGAGCCTCCTGGCTTGCCTTAGAGGCCTCCGGGGCTTGAGCGTCTCTGAGCCATCTTGGGGCCGTCCTGGAGCATGTTTGGGCCCCGCGGAGCAGTCTCGAAGCGCCTGGGGGACTCGCAGGGCGCCCTGAAGGGCCCCAGGAGCCTTTCGGGACAAAATCCTTCTCGCACGCAGAGGTCCTGCATTGTAGAAGAGACTAGTGCGAACGAGTGGACTAAATCCACGGCGTGCTGAACCTGGGACTCGCATGCCGTGGGTGAACCGCCCATCGAAGTTGAGCATCTCGGGCTCGAGGACGGCCCCAGAAGGGCCAAAAAGATACCCACAGAGCAAGGGGGGGCCCCCAGGGGGAACTACAATAGGGGGTGCGTTGTAGCATCCGTGGTGGCTGTGTTGGGAGGGCTCGAAGACGGTCCAAAAGGGCTTCAGGACGGCCGAAGGAAGGCCCAAGACGCACATCAAAGGCCTGGAGGGGGGACCCCGACGGATGCTACAACGGGGGGGTGCGTTGTAGCATACGTGGGGGCTTCCTTGGGACGTCTCTCAGACGGCCCAAGGAAGCCCCCACGGATGATGGTGCGTGTTGGGGGGGCACCTGAAACTCCTGTAAGCCGTCGGGGGCCTGTCTTGAGCTGGCTTGGGGCCATCTTGGGGCGATCGCGAAAATGCCTGGAGCTGCGTGGGGCCGTGCTGGCCCCGTCTTG